TACTTCTGTCACAAGAGAAACCACCTTGACCAGTGATTTGACACGCAAAAGCATCTCCAAATGGCTTGTCATATTTGCTTTAAATGAGGTCTTGTGATACAGGGATGGGAGTAAGGAGTAGAGATCTTATTTAGATTTGTGAGTGGAGAGAGTTTTACTAGTACAGAGTGGGGGGAACAGGTGTTTTCAGGTCTCTGTGCGTTTTCTGGGTCTAGAGAGAACCAATCCCAGTTTTAATGAAATTCTTTGGACTCTCTGTTTGAATTATTTCGTTGTATAGGCCTACATTAGGAATCTTTTTATATATTTTGTGGATTTGCAGATATCTGATAAATGGCACATTCTGTCTGGTTATTAAGGCGATTGATGTGCTCTAAATTCAGTTTATCTTCAGCACTGGGGAACACTTATGGTTTGCATGGTTGTTTATGTAAGTGAGGATATTTTAATTAAAACAAAAAATGAAAATGGAACAGAATGATTGTCCTTTATCAAAATCATCTACCTTGCTCTTTGGGACATGAAAATCTGCCTTTTACTGACAAATGCTCTTGCCTGGAGTGACTTGATACTTCTGTTTCCATCTCGAACAGTTACTGTTGAGTGACTATTAATGTTCTGTACTACTGCTGCAGACTACTAAATTGTTCCCAGGTTGTGCTGGAAAATGTGGTCTGTGGTTTTCTTTTGGAACCATAGCGGAAAGACTTTCATTAAAAGTTATAAAATAAACAAACTTGTGTGGTTATCTTTTAATATTTTCTATAATTGCCTATTGCCTGTTTTGTAACTGCACAATTAGATCTGTTTACCCTAAGCTTTGTATCCACTTGCATGTCTTTAGCATATAAATTTTGTGTAGAAATATATATCATTTTCAGGTGTTCATTTCTTGCTATTATATCCAGTGCAGTTTATTCATTTATGAATGAGACATGACTTCTCTTTTAACTTTAAGGACTGTGTAAAATTATATATGTTTATTATTTAGTAGTGACCAGTAGGTGGCAGTGATGAGAAGCTGTGAATATTACAATGTTAATGATGAGCAATTAAAAAGTTATTTTTTAACATACATCAGAGGGAAAGTTGGAGATCTGTAGTATGCAAAAATTGCAAGTAGACCCTTTGGAAAAGGGCTTACCGAAACTCTGGCTAACAGGAAGTTTTAAGCAGGAAATGATAGATCCATACTTTGTCTACTATACTATAGACACAATTTACAGTGGCTATCATAAGAGTCTTGAAAATGATTAACATACAAGCTATGGAAAATCCAATGTTATCCAGATTTTCTTTGACGTGGAAACACTTTGTGGATTTCTCTGAACTTCACTGTTATCTCCCAGTTGAATTTCTAAGTTATGCCTAAGTTGGAAAACATTTTAAGTATAAATTCTCATCCAAGAAGCACAGCAGAATTGGGATTATTTTTACTAGGGGGTTCAAAACATTATTGCTGCATTTGTGGCTGCCTTTATCATTTTTTTAAATGATGTCAGATGTGGGAAATGGCAGTTTTTTTGCTCAATTGGTGAAAATGTTTGAATATTTTCATAGCCTCTGTGTCATCATGTACATAATAACAAAACAACTGTGACCAGCCTGCTTGTAAATGAACAGGTTGACTTTATCACAAATGATTTACTCCAGCAATAAATAAATGGCAGTGCCAAATCACATTCTGATGAAGCTCTGATTTTCTCTATCGGTTTGAGCCATATCAGTTGTTTGTAATAGTCCTTTTATCATCCTGATGGTATTCAGTTGTGGGGTAAAACTCTTTGATTGCCATCCCACCCCATCCCCCTCCCAGTCCATACACACACAATTTTGGATGTGCAAGTTCACCTATTTATTACTTTTCACATTCCCACCTTCTAAGACTAATAAATGGCTTAAATCGTGGCCACGATACGGCCATTGACGCTTGGCGCGACGCTAATGTGGATCAGATGGCACCTTCTCCACGGCGCATAACATAACCCTTGCCCTGTTTTTTAGGAGCTGACACTATCAAGAAATACTGGAGTCGCTACTATCAGGGATCCCAGGGAGTTATCTTTGTCCTGGACAGCGCCTCCTCGGAGGAGGACCTGGAGGTAGCCCGGGCGGAGCTTCACTCAGCCCTGCAGCACCCCCAGCTCTGCACGCTTCCTTTCCTGATACTGGCCAACCACCAGGACAAGCCCGCCGCACGCTCCGTGCAGGAGGTAACTTTCCACACCAAATATAGAGCTGGGGCGCCCTCGCGGCTGGCCCGTTTCCGCCGGCGACACGGTGCGGCCTCCCGCGCGGCGGCAGGGCCTGTGTGCGCGTGTGCTCTCCGTCAGATGTTCGCGCGCCGGCCGCACTGGATTTATGGGAGAGGTTGGGAATGGTCTTAGTCAGTCACAACGCTGGCTCGCCACTCTGTAACGGGCACGGCATCATGGCCACCACCTCCGTCTGCCCCATGCCGCCACCCAGCCCAGAGTGTCACACAGCAGGGGAGTGTGGAAATCAACATGGCGCTATGCTGCTTTCTGAAAAATCGCCTTTTCCTACACGGTGACAAGACTCGGAGAACAAAAGCATATTACTTGAGAGAGAGAGAGAGTGAGGGAGGGAGGGTGGAATGTGAGCGTGTCCCTGTATTAAGGGGGCGTGGGAGAGCTGCCAGACGCTCTTATGGTGAGATGTCTGGACTCATGAGCGCTTCGCTCCCCAGTGTCAGTAAAATGCTGTAAATAGGCTTTAAACTGATCTGTTTTGAGCTCCTCGGAGAGCAACTAAACAGGCAAGGAGTTGATGACATTTTGTAAAGCGACTGTTTCCTTAAAGCTCAGATCACACACCTGTGCTCACATGCAGCCTAAATACAAAGCATGTGTGATCTAAGTTTTCCAGTAACTCCATAGGGTTGCTAAGAACCTAAAGGATTGATCCTAAGCTTTCCTGTAGCGCACTGAGAAAAAAGAAACAGTCACTGGGTTCATCTGAGTTCAGCTGGGGGGTGATGGGAGGTGGCTCGCTTAAGTCACATTTTACGGCGTAAGGGGGAAACATTATTTTATGTTCAACATGGCTGTGTGTTAAATGCGAACCATTTCTGCGCATGCTTCTTGGGGATATTGGTGTCATCCAGTTTTCAGTTTACGGCCAACATACTGAAATGGGCACCACTGCATGACCATGTTTGGTTTTTCCTTTTTTGATACTTTGTTGTTTTTTCATTTTTCTTTTTGCATGTTGCTTTTTCTACAGTGTTAATTTAATCTATTGGTTATACTGAACTGAGTGATTATTCCACAACTGGAAGTTTGAGGCATTTAAAATTTAGAATAATGGAAAAAAAAATTCCCAGCTTAAATGTTAAATGATTACAGGCCAAAATGAATTAATGAACATCTCCTGCCGGTGCTGTGCCGCTGGAGCTTCTATGTAAAGACCGTGCTTCGATTTCAAACACTCCAGTTACAATGAATTGAGGTTTTGATATAGTTGTTGTCTGGGTAGCTTTTTAAACATCTAGGTCTTTGTTAATTGCTACTTTAAAAGCTGGATCTCATTAATAAATTTCCTGATGCCAGCCATTTGAAGTGCATGCAAGTTTGTTCTTGTGTTAGTAACAAACTTGTTCTTATAACTATATGGGCAAATTTTCAGGAAGCCTGAATTGATCTAATTCTGTTTTATCCAGTTTTAATTCTTGAGCATTTCTGACATGAGTAATTCTCGAGTCTAGCAAAAATGGAATATGTATTATTGCCACAACATCTGCTTGATAATGAAACATTAGCTGGTGTTATGAGATGCGGTGCTAGCAGCCTTCATGCCGTGGTTGAGAAAAAGCATTGGAATTAAATATATAAATGAAGTATTACTCATTAAACAAGTTTTCAGTCAATGTAATAAGTAGCCCGGATTTTAATATTTACTACTGGGAGTTAAATTAATATGGGACTGAAGCTAAACTAGGAGAAGTCCAGATTTTCCACATGATCCTCCCATTTGACAAAATACAGAATGTTCTTTTATAGCAAGTTTTTTACTCATTTAAAATCTTTAAATATACTTGAACTTGCAAAATGGTTATAGAATCCTGTTAAAAATGGTGTGTTAAATGATGGGCTTTTTGACAAGTTAGGGATTTAGTTTTTTCTGTGATCATTTCGGTATTTTCTGAAAAATAAAATCCACACATTAGTTAATAGTCAAGCCTAGCTTACGGACTACATTGGTACATTGGTAGTGTGCAGTTACCATTGGTAGCTTTTAAGGGGTTCTGTGTACACTGTGATAAGTTATGTGTTTTTAGCATAAATTTCAACAATGAGGGAAGCACTGAAATTCTTTTGATAGAAACATTTGGTACAACAGTATTAGATGTTTGAGAGACATTTATATTCATGAAAGAAATCACAAAGTAACATTCATTTGTATCATGCAACTAATGTACAGTACTGTACTTACAAAAGGACATTTTCTAATACTGAACAATGGAAATCAAATTCCTGTAACAAAAATGTACATGGATCTTGAATCTGACATGTCATTCATTTATTTGGATATGTAGCCACCCTTCTCCATCACTAACACCAGATTGTCTTCTGTAATTTTAGTGAAAACCACAACCTGATGCTTTGAGAAACCTTTTGTGCAGCATCTTGCAGTCGCTTCCAAAACATTGCTATTGTTGTATTGTTTTCCCATTAGCGTACCTTCACTGTTTTAGAATAGCCCAGAAGTTCTCGATGCAGTTGATATGAGGTGAATCACCGAGTCACTCCATAATCCTTTTGTTTTTGAGCACTTTTTATTGTAGTGTTTTGAATCATATATTGTCTTGCATACCTATCAGCCACGGGCCTAAACATCAGCTTCATTAGTGGTAGTTTTCACTGTCAAGCCACAGCTCTTTCCTGATTCAGTATTCAGATCTTTGCAAGCCCAAACCAAGCACTTTTCTCAGTGGTGTCTTTTTTTACAAACATTATTTTATTTAGTGGAGGTCTTGTGTTCTTTTCCAGAACATGGGAGCATGTGGCTCTATATGAAGTGGGAGATGTTTGAGTTCCACATCTTTGAATGTCTGTGAAATGGACCTGAGTGGATTTTTTTGATCTGTGGTTCGCCTGCAACAATATCACGTCAGCTTAGCTTTCCAGAAGAGGCCTGTAAACATATAGTGAAACCTTCACTGTGGTTTTTCATCCCCATTTTGACTGTGTAATCTGTCAAAATGATTAGCATATTAACTTGGCACACCAAAATATGCTCTTTTAATGACTGCCATGTGGCACACACAGTTCAGGCAAACTTAATGAGTGTCACCTGTTTCAAATAGAAAACATAACTATAAATTGCTGGATTTTCCTTAATATGAGAGTTGATGGGAATAAGGTGTTGCGTAATTAACTTAGCAGAAGTTAGCACACACTGTAAATGTTTATTTTTTGTTAATCCATTTAAACCTTACTCTGGAGGTATTCTAGATCTTTTCATTTAATGTACAAAAATGTTGGGATTGAAAAAATAATGAAAATAAATGTAAAACATTCTGTGACCACAAAGCCACCAAGTGTAAAACCTGGTCATTTAAATTGAACCAGTTACAGCAGCTCTTGTTTTACACTGTTGGACTTAAGTCATCATTGCTCAGATGTTTGAAGTATTTGGTTTATGTCAGAGGAATAGCCAATGAATGAGTCTAATTCAGAAACAGTGAAGTGCATTTAGTGCATCACATGCTAAATGCTATCCATCATTGTTCCCTGTTAACTTTTGAACTTTCAAGACTGAGGTAGTCACCTTCTGTTGTGTGTATGTAATAAAAAATACTTTCAGTGGAAATTTGAAGGATATGGACAAGTGTTTGACTCGTGATGCCTGATTCTCTGCTTCGGTGTGTGGAGTTGTGTTCCAGCTAATTTTTGAAGTGTGTGTTAACAAGGGTGTATTGCGCAACATGGGGGAAGATGCAGAGTGTTTGTTGGCTGGGAGGCAGGGAATCTCAGAATGACATACTGTGGGTTGAGAAGTAGCACATGAATGAAGGATCTAGAGATGACTTGCTTACATTGAGCTTAAGTGAATATTTGAACGCTCATCTCCTTATCAATCATTTCATGTTGTTAAACAAGTTCGAGCAGTGTAAGTTTTTACAGGTGTCTCTCAAAGAAACAACATGATATAGTTCATTCTTGCTTAGCACATTGTTAATGTCTGTTACTTTCTGTGTGAGGGCTTCAGTATAAAAGGTAAAAATAATTTTTTTCCAGTAAGTAATTGACAAACATCATGAATGGTCCGTTTGTGCAGTTAACGATTTAGTGCCAAGTTAGTCTGTGTCTCGTGGCACGGATGTTCTGACTTGTGGGCTGAGGTTAATTCATGTTCAGCATCAAATGTCCCATGAAAATATCCAAACGTAGCCTCGCTCTTAAGATGAATTCTCCATTTGTTTAAAATGGCCTTTGTCATGCCATTTTGTACTTTCAATCTCCATCTGAGCTGCTTGGAAAAAAATATGCATTCGAGTATTATCCTTAGAAACGGGTTCCATCTATATGTTGGAAAGGGCTTGGTGTATGTCAGAATATTGGAATCTAAGTTAGTGAAGTCTGCTCCAGCTAAAATTAAGCCTCAAAAGGATACTAAAAATTCATAGGCATAAAAATGTTTGAACCGACTGTTCTAGCACATCTAAGTAACAATTCTGAAGAAAGAAAAATACTTCCAGAAAAATAAAACCATCATTGAAGTTCATCGGGCTACTTTGTCAGTACATATAAAAGAACTTTTTGGGTGTGTGACCCATGGAAGTCATCACACAGGCTTGTGAATAGACTTATTGGACAGTCTGAATTAAATCCAGCTTTTTTAAAAAAAAGTAAAATAAATAAATAAAAAAAAATAATAAAAATGTTGCCTATTGACATTATATAACTGGTCATTGGCAGTTGTCGTTGCCTTGTTTCACAGAGGAAATGCAACACACGTTAGCAGGAGAAGAGTTATGTCCATTTTTATCTGGAGACAATGATGGCCTTGGGCCTGAGTGATTTGGAGCAGGTGTGTCATAGGGCTGCTGTTGGGCCATGGCATTGGACCATATATGAGAAGGTGAGATATGTGTATTGAGGTCAGAAATCTCCAAATCGGGGCACTAAAAATTGACAAGAAGAGCTCCACACAGGGCAAATGCAGGTTGTGTCCTGTAACTACAGCA